GACGAGTGATTTTCTCGCTTTTGATCTCGTTCACTTTTAATCTTGCCTGTCATTAAGATTCATCAAAGATTTAAAAGATTAATATTTCTCCGAAACAACAAGATGATACAAAATCAGTGCAGATCACGCCCTATGATTTGATTGCAGCCATTATTCCTGTCGAGAGAGAGCATGTTAAGAGGAGTGGTCTGGAGCGGTGTGGGATGGGGCCTTTTACAGCAATTGTTGCTGGCTCAAAGGCAGTCGGCACGATGATTTGACGTACACTTTGAAAAGGAGTAAAGGCCCAGTAAATGCAAAAATAGTGGAAAAAAAACGAGGGCGAAAAAAAAATGGTGGAGAATCCTTGGAATGGGGCTTTATTTCTTCGTTGCACCGCGGCAGAGGACGAGCGAACGGCTGGAGGGCGCCGCTTCGGACGAGCCCAAACGGCACGTCCTCGTGCTGTGGTGCTATACGTCCAATGGTAGGCGGGGGCGTGGTGGGCGTCCGCGTCGGTGTGTTGCTATAGGGCGCTATGAGGGCACTTTCCTTGAGAAAGGCGCTAGGCAGCGGATTTTCAAGATCGCAGAATTCTGTCACGCCAGCCCCCCTCCCCCTCCCCTTCCCCTCCCATTTTCTGTTGGTCATTTTTTCAACTAAGTACTAGTCAATGATTTTTTTTTCTCACCACGCTGTGGCCCCAAATAGTGAAAAAGTCGCCGGGCGGCGGTCCATTCTTCCCCCTCACACGCTCTCTCGTTTGCTGAGGCGAGCACTGCTGGTAAGCCGGTGAAGACCTGTTAAGCACTAACATACACTTCCCTACAGCACTAAAAAAGAAGAGTATGCCAGAGAATCTCTTGTTTTGGGAGATTCATTCATTTTTGCGAACAAAACTTCTGTTTTTTTAGATAAAGCATGCTAGTGAGAATAGGTAAACCGCTAATAGATTAAACCCAAGCACACGTCGAAGAATGTTTCGGGAAGAACTGGTTCTGATTGTTGAAACTCTACAGCGCGATGATGAAGTGGCTATGCGGAACTGTGGACTTCAATTCACTGACCGCCCAAGGAAGATTTGAAGTGTGGGTAAACGAGGCAAAATTTGTAATCGAATATCCGGAGAATAATGTAGAGGCCTGTGGGATGCCTCGAATGGCAAAAGTTGTTAGATAATGAGCCCGATGGGGTATTCAAATATTTAATATGAATTACTCTGTTTTCCATATGTTTCTGAAGATTACATTCTAGCAGGAGATCACCGGTGTTCATTTCGCACGGGGTGGCATGCTACATGAAAGACCCATGGAGTAATTTCCCAAGCTGTTTCTCTACAGGGCACAGCATCGTTGTGTGAAAACACACAGGGGGGGGGGGGGGTCGTACTTTTGCTTGGGGGAGGGGGGTCGTATTTGTTGGAGACAAATTTATTTTGATATAGTTGATTTTATCTTGTGGAAAAGTGGGGGGTCGTATTAATTTTTGTTTTATATGCATTATATGCACCCTGTACACCCGCCGGATATACGTTGCATAATTATTGTATATTATTGTATACCCCCCCCCCCCGCTCGACAACTTTTTCGCCGACTATATACTCATGGCTCGGCGACTGGCGAAGAAGGTGTCGAAGGGTGGGGGGGGGTCGTACCCCACGCGAAAAAATAGGGGGGGGTCGTGGCCTGTACCCCATCAGGAGGGGGGGTCGTACTCTCACCGACATTTCGCCTATCCCCATGCTGTACCCTGTTTCTCTGTATGCACGAGTAAGCACTCCACCTCAGACCTCACGGTTGGGAAAAGATGAAGCCGTCCGTCTTCGCCGTTCAGCTCAGGTATGCCTACAGTAATCGCGTCAGAATTGACCAGCTGTGTGATTTCCATTATTGTGCCATTAGGGTTTAGGTACGTGTATAGGGCGCTATAATGGTGGGAGAAAGTCATTTTCATGACTCAACGCTTAAAGTCAACGTCGAGCGATACAAGATTCCAAGCGTCGGTGTGACGAATTTTGAGGCTACTGTGGCTGAAGATCAGCGCCTGTAATTGCCACATCATTTATTAACCTCGTCAATCGAACCAAAAAGAGGTTCTAAGAGTATACCCCATGAAGCAGTGTCCTTTTTATTAACCTCCCTGTAAAAGTTCAAACCAGTTCAAGTCGTAAAGTTCCGCGAAGTGATGAGAAAATATAAGAGTCATTCAAATGAATTTTTGGTTTTAATTGCCCACAGCGTCCGATTGGCTCACACAATTGCGATCCTCTAGGGCGGATTTTGAGAGTGTCATACCACTATTCAAGGTGTCCATACAGAAAAGTGGGCAGCAGTGTTTCAAGACATTCAAATGTGTCGAGGATGTGGGGAGAAATATATGGTTAAACAAAGATGCCAACCATGGACGGAAAGACAAACAGAAGACAGTGAGAAATGCACCCAGGTGTCCTAATAACAACTTCTTCGAACATTGTGCAAAGATGCCTTGTCACGAAATACCCCCTCATTAATCATTAATATTTACACAGCTCGACAGAAAACACAATCGGAAGGAAAATACTGGTCCTCGAGGATGATTATCACAGTATTAAATTGTAATTGATCTACGTGACACTTACAACCTCTTTTGGAGGCATAAGACACGATAACTTAGTACTCGGTCTGAAATGGTTTTCAGGGGTGCCATGTAGTGCGGGAAGATAGCGAAAAGACAGGTCAGAACGCTGTAAAAAAAGCCTTTGATGTCGGTGACAGTACACTGGTACGTTTTGTAAACCATAAACTGCTCAAAACTGAAAGGTTGAAGACTACGATGGGAACACTGTTGTTGCCATCAATGGTACATACACTCCATATCCAGGAGAAGGGGATGGCGTGGCTGTATACTTCATTCGAACATCGCAGCGATAGCGCCGTCAGTGAGATATTTTCATTTCGGAACAATTGAAATCATGTCTTTATCCAGCACAAGATAGGATGACAGTTGTCTCAAATGGAAGTATCAAAAAGCGAGATGAAAACGACTGCTTCAAGTGAAGCACTCGCGCACCATAGATAGGCCCAGTCTTAGACGAGCGTGGCATCTGCTTTTGATGGGTTTGCGAATTGAGCGATCTTTCGAGCATTACCCTCCCCCGCACCCCACAACCCGCTAAAATAGCTATGCAAACTCTCCCTACTCCTGTTTCTTGTACTGCTCCCTTACGAATCCCATTTTTCGAGAGATCCCGTCTTCTCTGAAGCTTCAATTGAATCCACTCTCTACCAGCAGATCAGATAGCCTGCAAAACCCTTGAAACCCGTTAGGTTGATCGGAAAGTTCTACAACAGTTTGAACAACTCATGGCTGTAACGTGAATTTGACTGCCCTATCAGCCGGATTTACAAGTAGTTGTGTACGCATTCATACTGGTAAGAGGAGAGATAAATAGCCTGAAATTTCGTTATGCATGTCACAAGACCTTCCGCTCAACCTGACATTTTCTTTTTCTTCGCTTCGCTTCTATGAACAATGGTCGCTGCGAGACTGTAGTGTTGAATGGAAGTCATTCATGAAACATCAGCCTTACCTCCTTTGAGTAAGCATTTTCAGACAGAATGACGCTTGACTCGCAAGACAGAATTTTCCTTGGAACAACATTCGCGACAGCGGTGAGTTCGTGAATGATCTCGAAGTGTATCTCCGGACAAGAATTTTCTTTAGGTGGTTGGTGCGGCTCTTCTGATCGTTGGTTTCGTGCTGCGATTTGGTCGAGGATTTGGCACATTTGTAAACTACGCACGAGCGGTAAGTAGCTTGGCACTTCTAACTGAATGAAAGCAGGTGATCTTCATTAGGACACAAATTCGGTTGATGCTTGAAAACTAAGCCTTGCGACCATATCTTTCCAAGCATTATAAACTTATCCCTGGCTTTTATGGTTAATCAGAATTAAAAGCATGGTCCGCAAGAAGGAGCGTAGGTGTGGGCGGTGACCTGTGGAAGGGAAGTTACCGAATGACTCGTCCGTGAGGAGAAAACGCCAAAGGGTACATCGGAGACAGCCTCAATATGACCCTTTCAGCCTCCAACAATTGCACGGGTGAAATCACGAAAAAACCGCTCGCTGGGGCAACTCCAGACTGCTGACCCCTTGTGATGTTTTCCATAACCCCGAGAAGAGCCAATGTAGCTACTTGTCTAGTAGCATCGCTTCTGGCTGGAAGGCGGGCTTTAAAGGCGGAGTTTGGAGGCGGAGTCAGTGGAAAAAGATAGGTACCAGTGGAGCAATTTTGCACTATAACTCCTTCAGCTTATTACTTTGGGCAGTAAAACTACTAAAACTGGCACAAGGTTCTTCATTGCGGACCACACTACCTTCCCACAACAGTCTTCTGCACTTTTATAGGTCATCGCGGACCGTCCCTTTAAATGTCTTAGCAGTAGCATCCATGGGGACTATGTGTAGCACTGTGGGAGTTCTCCACTTCTGCAAACTAAATACATTGTAGCATAACCGGGTGGAAGTTCGGTAGCACCGATCGCGATCGTTGCCCCTTATCACAGTCCGGGTCGACTTCCATCCGAACTGATCGTGCTTTGACCGTTCTGTCGTAGACTGGTCTGGGGTGGAGGAGCACTAACTTTAACTCATACACACCACGTCAACACACCAGGGCTACTTGCAAAGGCCAAAAGGCATTCGAGTGATAATAGTTTGCATGGCGTATTCCAAAAGCACTCGGACAACGTCTAAAGCTTTGCCTTCATATCGTACATGGTTTCAACACAGCCGTAAGTCAGTTGCTGGACAAACTACCGTCTCGTTCGCTGCGGATGAGGGGCGTTTCAAGGAGTCGGTGGTCGGTTTGGCCACGGTGCCTGACCGTTTTTGTTTTTCTGGTTAACAACTGTATCACTTGATCATGTCGTTCGTATCAGATGTTTTACATCTGCTGCGGTTACTTACTCTCTTCAACAACAGGTAGGGAACGCGCTGGCGGCGCGCCGAACCCAGCCACACTGCTACGCTCCATCATCCGCACCGAGCAAGATTGTAGATGATGAGAAGGAAAAGTAAAAAGACAAGTCGAAATACCAAAAGCTAAGCGATCTGGAGTGCTTCGTGAACGAAAAAAAACTACGGCACTATCGCATGCGAACTGCTTATTGCAAATATCTGCGCTCAACAAAGGTCGTGGTTGCAAGTGCGACGAGGGTCGAGGAGGAAGAGAGGCGAACGTGCAAAGAAGGGTTGGCAAGTGAATATCCAGCTAAGATAGAGGCAATTCAGAAAGGCTAAGGACGGCGGCAACAAGGATTAGATCATGTGAAGGTGGCAGTGCTCAAGCAGGCTTGCAAACTCTATAATCCAGGGAACGCCAACGTGAAGGAGAAAGTATGTAAGGATGCTCAGCCGAGTTCCTCTTCCCCATAGAAAGCTCTTAAAATCGCCTCGTTAAAATAGCCGTCTCAAAAGGGATTGCCTGCACCGGTCTCAAGGAACCTTACGCTGTTTCTACCACCCTGATTCTTGTGCGAAAAGCAACCTCGCCAAAATAAGAGTCTGTTTTAATTACAGGATAATGATTTTCTGGAATTACGTCGTCTCGACATGATATTCGGGCTGTTCACAGCAGCAGCATGCATCCTTATAATTATGTTCTTCGTTGCTGCTTTGGCTACTCTCAGGAAGAATAAGTTTCTTCTACGTGCGGTTAGTTTGGCTTGCATTTTAATCTGAACACTTTATCATCATATCCCCTGAGTTTCAGTATTGCGCTATTATCGCCTTGATGGTTGTCGTTCAACTGATCGCTGGTTTGCTCGCCTTCACCTATTCGGATCAGATTAATCAGCTGGCTTCGGATGACATACTCTATGAGTCCCTTCACAAAGTTGCTAAAAAGTACGGCGATAGCGGTCCTCATCATAATGTTCCGGATTCTTCCTTCTTCATTAGGGCCAATATCCGTCAGTTCCTGCCCGGAAAATTTGCAAAACGTGACCCCTTCTAAAACTTGCTGCACTGTAGCGAGTCTCCCCCTTC